AAAATCATGGTACATTATGAATCGCAACTTCATACCATAAGATATAATTTATAAAAAATTACTGACGTTACAAAAAAAATTTTAATGTATTTATACACAATGATGAACTATTAAGCATTTTTTTTTTCAAATCATGAATAAAAAAATTATTGTAAAGAAATCAAATGGGGCTGAGCCTTAGACAAAATTTGATTTTCTACCAAAAAAGGTCTACCTTCAAAACTATACACTCATGCACAAAGTAGTAAAATAATCTATTCTGCACGAATATAAGAGAATGATTTTTTTTTTAATCCAGTACGAATATAATCAAATGCCTTGGGTGCGCAGAATAGAAATAAAAAATTGTTTTTACACTTGTAGCGCGAACTGACTATAAAAACACCGAGTCGTAAAATGTACAGTTGGACTCCAATGGATGCAAGTTGGCATTAGGTTTGAACAAAGAAGGGCTACGGTTCACAGATTTAGAGGAGCAAATCTCTCAAGTCTCTCTCAGTCGAGGTTAGATTCGATTTACGACATATGGTCTGCGGTGAACCTCGAAGGTGTGTTTGCGGGTCATCGACAAGTGTTGTTGTCAGACTATCTCAAATTTTACTCCTATTTGGCTTGCCTGCGTTTTCAACACCGAAAACTTTGTTGGGTCGTCATTTTCCCCCTTTGGTACCGGTTTTAGGGGGGGTGCATGCTACGACCAATATATATTTTTACGAGCGCTCGTTAACTACAATTTTTAATCTCTGCAGAGGAGCAGTACTTACTTTCTTCGATTCGTACGATGCTGTGCATTATCGTATGTGAAAATAATGATGAATCTCTCGAACATGAGCTTGCCCCATTAGCGCTAAGGTTAATATGAATTTTATACCTGTTCAACAGCGAAATTTGAAGGTGAGGTCATGCAGACACAAAAAGTATACTGTGAGAATATAAGGATAAAAATATTTCTTTTTTTTCGTGTGTTTATTAATAGATCATATAAAAAAAACTGTAATTAACTATCGATCTATTCGAGTCAGAATTTTTATAATGCCTTCTTTTCTGCTACGGAGGACTAATTGTTTAAAATTAAATTAGGTTTTTATGGTTCTTTGTACAAAATAGTAGATTGCGGCATTCAAAATAGTGGTTGAAAACGTTACCGTCGATAACTCGTCAAATGGGAAAAAAAATCGGTGAGACCTCGCTCACGAGTAAATGTGTGTCCATCCTGAGAATACAAAAGGCACTTTATGAAACCATACTCACTAAACACTACTCTCCAAAAGATGCAATAACAACAATAATTAAAAGTAGCAGCAACACTATTGGAAAAAACTTTAGAACTAAAACCACCAAACGGGGTAGAAAGAAAATATAACTCATTACATTAATACACATGTTACAGAGATACGTCAACATTCTCCAAACAATGTATCACCACATTTTAAAACAAATGTAAAAACTCGCGTGAAAAAAGTTGCAATTTCATTGTAAATTAATTTTGACACAGATTCAACATCGACTCTGGCACACTGGTAACATAATTGATTTGATACAAAAAAGTCTTTGAAAGATAATTAAACCGATGTATTTAATTTATCAAGTCTCACCACTGACACGCAAAATAAAACATTTTAATATTAAAAATATGCATAGTGTCAAACGCAAATAAGCAAGCGAGTAATTGGTCCGAGCCAGAAATTGTATGTTACGTATAAAGTAAGTAACACGTATAGTGCGCTGCAGAGGTACACACACACACACACACACACACATATATTATATCAATGCATTAGGTGTGGTACAGGTGTGTACAATCATGTTGTACGTGCTACATATATATACTTATGGGGGGATGTATATATACGTATATGCAGGGCTTTGGCACTCGGCTCCCGGGGATTTTCGCGCGTTATATATATATAGGTAGTGTGTACGGTGCACCTTACAAGTACACCGCCAGGTCGGAGGAGCTAAGTATGCGTCGAGAAAGGAGTGAAAAAGAGAGACAGGTGATGCAGTGCGCGAAGAATAGGATATGAAGAAACGAACGCAGGTAGAGAGGTATACATAAGTATACGCGGAGAAAGATATAGGAGAGGGGAGTATAGTGTACGGCACAACGGAGGCTGTCTTGTCAATTACGGGGCCAGGCCCGCAGGAGTGTGCCTCCTCGTCACAATCACTGTCAATTGCGGCTTCAATTTTAACGAGCCCGCCTCCAGCCACCACTGCACCCTCCTTCCCCTCCTATTCGTTTTCCTCGTCATTGTCGTCTACTGCCTATATATACATGCGTAAAAAAAATCGCGAATTTCGTCGCTCACGTATATATATGTATGTATATAAACTTTCGGCTACGCGCTGGTTTAGCCAAACACCGTGCCATTTCTCCCCCATCCCCCGCCGGTGTGCCGCTCTATTTTTTCCGCTGACGCGACTACGCTCGCGTAATGAGACACATTTTTCGCAGTAGGCAATTTTTTTTTTTTTCCCCACATAATATACATTATACACGGTTGTTGGCTATTAACCGTATACGTACCGTCTTTTGGATCACTCGAGTACATCCTTCCAAAGCATTTTAAAGCAATTCGCGCTGGAGTGTACCCAAATGATCTTGCTTCGCGCGGTCCATCACCTGCACGACAAAGAGATGGAGAGGAAGATCAGCGGGGCGGAAGGAATCACGATATTATCATTGGGCCTCGAATGTTTTATGGAGAGATGTACGGGAATTGGCCATTTTAGCTCAAAAACTTTTGCGACGCTCGGTTCATACGTGTGTTATATATATCAGGCGTGGCGCTGCGGCGATACGTCATCCAGTCCATAAAAATGTAATAGCCCCATTAAATAACCAAGCGAGCCCCGTACGCGTATACATATATATATATTTGCGTGTCTCCTTATTTTGTCGGTTTCCTCTCCCTTTTTTTTTTTTTTTTCTTACGTTGTACATCGCTCAACCGTTTGATATATCCTGTATAAAGCACCCACGAGATGATTATTCTTCTAACCACGTGCTGGTGCGAGTATTGCTCTCGGTGGGGAGTCTATATCAAAAAAATGGAAAATTTCCAAACAATTTCTCTTTGGCGTTTAGGTGTATTTCCTTGCTATCGCTCTCACGCAGCGCATTAATCAAAAAACCAATGTTTTCTCGTCCCGGTGTTTGTTATCTATATTTTCGAATGATTAACAACAAAGTACGTACCAAAGCCACATCAATCATTTCTCGTGTGTCAAAAGTCCTCGAACAACCGATGGGGTATCGATGGATGATTAATACACACCTCTCTCTTGGTGAAACTCGACTCTGAGTATCCACTTTTTACAGCAAGTATACGATTAACACGCACATAATTTTACTGGCTGCATAAAAATACGTGGTTATAATATAGCAAAGCTATATGATAATATATGTACATGGGTAATTTCACGCAAATCAGAATATTTTAATTTTGAAGCTTAAATGGTGGTTTACATTTTTCGGCGCGACTGGCGTAACATAAGTACCTTATTATATCTTCACCAGAGCAAACAGTGTAACCACAACTTGGGACCATCTTCGGATCTTAACATCCGACTGGGCTCAAATTTGGAGAGTATAGCTTCGACACGAGGTACGTATAGTAACATCATAAAAAACGTGATTATTTTGGACGTGTATCCACGGCTCCGTTTATATACATTGTGACGTGCCAATGGGCGCAGTTTTCAAACAGTTTTTTTTACTGATAATAATCAGCCAAGTTGAAAAAAATGTTTGAACTCACGCGTGTATGATTATACTTTTTGCTCTCAAACAATGTAGGAGTCTTGGAAGCAAACATTTAATTTTTAGCAAGAATTTATCCAACACATTTTTTTTTTTTTTTTTGCATCGATTGTGACCAAAACAAAAGACTTGGCCTTGTTAATTATTATTATTATTTTTTTTTTGGTTCTCCAAAACATGTATTAGTAAAGCTTAAACAGTTATTACGTTAAGATCTTATGGCGCAAAACTAATTAAAAAGTCGTGCGTAATTGACTCGTTAAAAAAAAATATTTTTGAATGGGACTCTAACCCGTACCGCTGATTTCCATGTAAAATAAAAGCAGTTTTTCATGATCTAATTTCCGTTGTAACTTCAGCAGAAAATCACTTTCCCTTACTTGTTTTTAAAGATTAAAAAAATTTTTCAACCAAAGTCCCCGTTGATTGACTGAGCCATGGAAAGTCCTGTTTTTTTTTTTTTTTTTTTTTTTTGTGAAACAACCCACATAAAAAGTTTAATTTTGCGGAAGACGTGAGTCTACCTACTTATAGCTCTGTTTTACAATCAATCTTGACCACCTGTCCGTATAGCAATCATCTAGACGTGCGTATTACACGTGTAGGGACAAGACCACCGGGACAACGGTACATAATATATTATTCTTACAGACGATGGTAATATACATGTATACGCAGCGGTGAAAGCATACGCAAAAAAAAGAGAGAGAGAGAGCGCTATCGAGGTCGCTCTCAACTCCGGGGCGTCTTCTCAACTCGCGGCTATTCTGTGTGTCGATGATTGCGCACCTATAGGAAATGAGTCGACTCTCGTTTTGTTCTCGACCCTCGTTTTTTGTTTTTTTTTCATGCAAATCGACGCGCACCTTTTGCCTATTTGCTTATCGTATATATGTTGCTTGTTTAACGCGTACGAAAAAATTTTCGTTTCCAACGAGCTACTTATATGTACCTATGTATTTCGCGACTGTGCGCGGTGTATGTTAGGCACTGCAGCTGCGTCAATGTCGTGTGTCTTTTTTTTTTTTTTAATTCATTATTACTTAAACTCATACTGTGCTAACGTAAAAATAATTTGTGATATTGCAGTTTATTTTTTAATAGAAAGTGGGACAAAAGCTCCCGACGAAGTAAAACGAATTATGATGTGAACGTTGTCAAACGATTACGTAGCTTTTGGTTAAAAAAAAAAGACACGCGAACAAAATTTGGGTCCTAAAAGCACACATCTCACGATGCCTGAGCGGTGGCATAGGTCAACGAGTTGGCGACGAGGGGTCGGTCGTCGTGGTGTTGCTTGTGGGCGTTATCCTCGTGCTCCAGGTGGAACAGCGCGTCGTTGAGTCGCCTGAGTTTCTTCAACAGTACCGTCAACAAACTCGATTTATTGTCTTTGGCCGACGGGGGCTGGTAAAGGACGATTTGCTGTCGCAACGGAACCTGCAGCAAAATGCCCGACGGTTTAGCTTCGCTATACACCTGATCCTTCTCTACGGTTCAAGAACAACGAGACACGTGTCAGGAGAATACTTCATTTCCTCGAGCTGATTAATTTCAAACGACCAGAGGGTGCCCTTTTTTTTTCTCTCCTTCAAACGTCGCGCAAACGCGTTAATTTTGAAATCGCCGTTAGAAAGCGCCGGGGAAGTGCCAATGGCGAAAGTCCAGCGTGTGCATATATTCATAACATATAGTATACGCGCTCAGAAACGCCGTAAAAGTCGATTAACAAATAAATGCACAGCCGGCTTTCACGTTTATTATACATTACAACAGCAATCGCGACTCGACGCGCGTAAACACTTTTACCCGCATGTGGAGTTTGGATGTGCAAAAAGTGACGTTGTTGGCCATTTGAAATTACGGGTGCTCGAGTCGATGGAATTATGTAGGAGACAGAGAGGACTTAAACCTACCGAGTAGTTCGTTGTTGTCCCAGGCCCAGGAGGACTTTTGCTGGTAGGGATCGGGCCAGCCGTTGGACTCCGAAAGTGACGAAACCCAAGGCGGCGATGGTTCAGGGTTACCGTTGGACGAAATTACCGTGATTTCCGGCTCGTGGAGTTTGTTCAAGTCCTGGCTGGTCCAGCTCAGCGAGCGAAAATGATTGTGACCACTGTAACGTGAAGACCTTACCCTTGCAATACAGGCGAAATAGGCCATCATTTACCCGGGAAATAAATATCTGATTCTTAAATTAGCCGAACGGAAATTTGTGGCGTATAAACATCAAAATTAATCATTTTTTATCCACAGCTGTAAAAAGATTTACCGAAAGGCTAAAAGGCTTTGTTTGTAAAGTGCTATTAAATGACTGAAACAGCGCACGTTGCAATTACACTTTTGGCTGTACAGCGATAAACGTGTGTATGCATCAGGTGACTTTTTCCCTTGAATTAAAAAAAAAAAAAAAAAAAAAAACCCACTCTATATACTGTCCCCAAAAGTCCCACGATCGGTCGTGTATCGATTGGTTACCTGTGGTGCACAGTCGACAAGTCGATCTCGATTTTCGGCGGAGGTGCCGGTTTGGGCAGTACCAGGGGAACCGGGTAGTAATGCATGTGATAGTGGTGAATCGGAGGCTTCATCTCCTTCTGGCCGCCCAACGACTCGAGGAAACTCATGATCGCCCTCTTCGGGCTGAAAGTATACGATTCGAGGCCATCAAGTATATAATACTGTTCGTTCGGTACTCTCGTTACTTTTACTCGTTTTTGCCATAATGGAGGGCGCGAAAAACGAAAAATGAAGCACCATCAAAAAAACACAACAACAAAACGTTTCACGCGCCACTTACCCATACCCGCGTGTGTATTGTATTATTCGCCGTGGCAAAACCCCGGGCGTTGCCGAGACGGACGCGCGGTCCGTATGATGATGCGCGTGGAGCATTAATCCCTTGATAAATGGCACGGTGAACCGCGGGCTCGTAGAAAATTAATTAGCCATTAGCGGCTACAAAGTCCTGCTTTCGCGCACTTTACGCGCCCCGAGTCCGAACGAATGATTTATTTATCACCCGGTGGTGCTTCCCGCGATTCCCGGTCAATTAGGAAGGCCCGCTCGGAAGGCTATATATATACGCACCTTCCGCATTATTGAGTCTCGTCGCTCTGTCGCGCGACAATTGGTCCACACGCAGTGGATGTTCGAATTAAATTTTCGAAAATAATAATAATAAACGGACAACTGTTGCTTGAAAAGTGCGTTTGGAGAAAAAAAAAAAAAAAAAAAAAAAAGAAGATATTCAACGTTATACTTACTAGCGAAAAAACAGTGCTTCGGTCGAGCGATTCAGAAGCACTAGGAGCACCATCGAGCACAAGAACTGGAATAATCAAAATGCGACATGTTATTTAAATTCGAGCACAACTTACAACGTAAAAGTGGGTAATTTAATGCAAACAACAACATAATCACGAGCACACTGTTTCAAACGCTGCGTAATCAATGTGGGATATATATGTATTAATGCGATGTATTAAAATTACACTTGTTCGTGAGCAGCGGGCCATAATCATTGATGAGCTGTTGTCGGATGTGCACGTACACCGAGAATCTATAAACTGTGACGCAAAGTGCATATAAGAAACTGAGTCGGCCGGCGAACAGGAGCTGGCTTTTATAAACACCCGGCGACCATTGGCTCCCTCCTTCCTCGGTGCAACCAAAGCGTGTCCTTCTTTTTCCTTTCATCTCGAGCTCGGGTCTATTACACGGGGGCCAGGAGTACCCGTTGGTTATACGCGCCGGGCATTGACATTGAAATGAACCGCTGCCACGCGCGCGAGTAGCTCCGTTGCGTCGCGTTGGTTTGTGTGTAGGAGAAAACAAGTGCTTGGATTTTTAAATTGGCCCCGCGGTTTTTTCCTCGCCGCTTTTAGGACTTTTAGCTAAGACGTACACCGATAAGCTCCACTCGCGCTTCTATCGGGATGACCCTCTCTTTCTCACGCTGACAGTCATTTTTTAAAGCCTCGTTTCCCCACTTGGTTTTTTTTATACGCCGTCGAGGTGTATGTTACATGCTATAACAACGCACAGCAGAACGGCCGCGCAAACACTTGCTTCCAATCATTAAAAAGTCAAAAGAATCGCGATTGGAACGGGACAAATAAGAAAAAATGCCAGCTCTACTTGAGTGAAAGCTCATTGCCAGTGGGGTGTATACATGTTGCGACGTCTACCACGAGAGTGCGTTTAATAATCGAGATCACGACCTCTTCGGCCGAGAGAAAATTAATCTCCGGCGCACCTGACGAGGGTACTTTATATATGCTCGAGAGAGCGCCCATCAATTACAACGCGCTCGTGCTCCATTGATGTACAATGGAAGAAACCAAAGAGCAAATAAGTGTATGTATACGCGCCTTTTCGGCCGCTCGTTTTATATATACGGAACGAAAGTCATGTGTCTATTGGGTATAACGTAAGTATATTCTGATTAAAAAAAAACACCGGAAATCTCGAAATGAATGAAGGTTTTAAAACTGTATACTGTCTCTCGTTCGTGGATGACGAGACGTTGATTTTCGTACACCCGAGCGGTCGTCGCAAATCGGCGACAGTTGCGTCCGACAGTTTGAAACTGTACCCTTTACCGGACACTTTTCAAACTTTCGATTCCAACGGATACACTTGCGCAGGTACACTCGTAACGCACGACATTTGCGATTAGTTTTATGTTTGCGCGTAGCCTAGCTCGATCTGAAAAATTACTTTGTTCCGATCGATGCGAAAGATCGGTACTTATCGGGATATTTTGGAAAAACCGTCGCCACCTTTGATGCTGCGTTACACTTTCTCATGCGTCCCGGTGAAAGTTGACACTACTGGGTTGACGTATACATAGGAGCAAGCGCGGGTCCTTCTCTATGTGCGAACACACCGTACACTTTTTCCCGCACCTATAGAGACATAAATATTTTTTTTTTTTTTTTCAAACATCTTTTTGTACAAAATAAACCAAATTTCAATCGGTTGGGTCGCGTTAATCCATCAGGCAGCTTAAATAATAACCCAACGAGGTGTTGCGGCGTTTCCGGGGATAGAGCGAAGGAAAAATAATGTAATAGGATTGCGTCGACCGAGCAAACCACGTCGGAACGAGCGTGGAGTACCTGTACGTATCCGTGCGGAGCCCTGAAAAAGGGGCGAGGGACATTGTCAAATAAACGCCAGCGTCGGGTGTGTGTGTATACGACCACGGGGGTATATTTATTTTTCGAGGAGAGTCGGCTCGGACGGAAGGAGCTTGCGGTCAATTAGCTCGGAGGATTTTAAAACAAACACTCGTTAACGGTACTTAAAACAAAGGCTCCCCCTTTCTTCCTCCCCCCCCCCCGTATGAGTATATACATCACTCGTGGGTTGATTAAATTAACCTCCTGATGACGGCCAACTCCAACCGCGCGCCACAAGAGTCGCGTTAACTTGTGTCTTTTCGTTTTTTTTTTTTTTTTTTTTTTTTGAGCTGTACCGGTACGTTGACATACCCACTACCGGTGGTCCCAAGGATTTTACATATTTTCCTACCCTCTCACGGAATTTCTTTCTCGTTGCTCGATGTTGGGTTTTTTTTTTTTTTCCTCTGGGTAGCGGCGTTAGTTATAATTTCAGGACGAATTTTTTCTTATTCCTCCGGAGCCCCCTGGTAGCAGCCGTAGCTGCATTTCATCAATTTCCTTTTTTTTTTTCTCGTCACGTTGTGTCTGTACAAGTGCAATTATTATAAAATACATTTTGCAGGTGCTCGTAATTTCACGGATTACGCGTGTACATCAGAATTTTTGTAGCATAACAGGTACATGTATATTTAAAATCAACAAGAATTTCTTAACGAAAAACTCGACCGCGTACTGTGTATTACACACGCAAAGACTTGATCGTATAGCGTTGTTGTGTATATATACCTACTTGAGTATTCCTAGCGCGAGTCGCATTGCTAATTTTTTTTTTTTTTTTTTTTTCCTTTCCCCTCGTAATAACTGCACTGGCGACAAAACAATGGGAAACAAAACGTAAAATTAATACCAAAGACGAGACGCTCTAACTGGATTTTCATTAGCATCAGGAAGAAGGTGGTGTATATGTATATATACGTCCGAATCCAAGGGGCACTTCAAAGAAGAGTCGAGCCTCGTAGTTGGTTAATATGCGAGGGACTCGGCTGTGTCTCCTCCGGTGATCTTATTTTAAAATTAGCCTGGATCTGTTACTTTGGAACTGCAAAAAAAAAAAAAAAAACCAGTTGTCATTGCGGTTGTTTGTATACGTTATTTTATTATTCCATGCGGGGCCGGTTCGAATTTTGTGTATACAAGTTTGGGAGAAAAATTCCAAATTTTGCGAAACTCGTCTGAAAATAATATCACACGCTCATTTTTTATCGTCATAAATAACATATCAATAAATTATAGCTTCCTACACGAGAAATCGAATCTTATTGATACATCATTGCAAATTGAAAAATATTAAAAGTATCACGTGAAATTTCATTAAGCCTAAACTTCACAGTTTTACACATATTCATTGAATAGGTCGAAATAGTGGTCAGAGTTGATAAGTAAGTCCATTAAACCTTTTTATCCCAAAAAAGCTTTTTGTTGTTCGGAAACTAGAATTCGAATCGATGATTTCAATTCCATGTGCTTAATTGCGGTTAATATGGTCGGATATTTTAGTTACAGGACAGGGTTGCGTGAAATGGTTGTAAAAAAGTGATTAAAGCACCAAAAGTCCGCAAAAACGAATTTAAGTCGCCAAAAATCAAAAAGTTAACATTTTATCTGTTTAGATACAGATGATGAGTTGGAGATCTCAAAGGAATACAAATTTTCCCCGTATTAACTAACAAAAGTTATAAATTTCGTAAAAAAATATCGTTTTATTTTACTTTACATACGTTGATCTAAATGGCCAAAATGTTTTAACTACCTTTTTCTTATTTTCATCATTTGTCTTTCATTTTTTTTTTTTTTTTTTTTTACGTTTATAGACATTAAAAGTGTTTAACTGCATCCGATGTAATCTAACTATGATTGTTTTTGAAAACAAAAAAATTGCAATCATAAAAAATATATACATTTCTGTCTAACACACGATGAGATCCCGATATTGATACTTAATCGAATGGTTAACTACGTGTTTATCCAAATAATCTTTCTCTTTTTCTTTACTTTTTCTTACTTTCGTAATCATCGTGCACTTACATTACTTTCCCAGCCGATATATACCGCGTGTCCGAGGGACACACCAGAACTTTTTTCATCAATTAATTCCGGAGCCGCGCACTGCGGGCATGTATAATTACGTTTGCAAGCGCGTTACGTACGCACTCGAAGATCACCGCGAAAATTAAACAGCTCATTTTGCTTTTCCGAGCTAGCCGAGCAATAACGCATTTGGTGAAAAATACCCACCAAGCGTACCGATTTTCTTTATTTTTTTTTTCCTCGATGTACGCGCATCGTATACACGAGGCAAGGTGAAAGGACGTAATTACACAGTTTTCCTTTTTCCCGCGATAAGCCCGAATAAAAGATAACTTCGAAATTCGTGTCAACTTTTACCCGCGCCAGGAAGGAACAGCGCCAACTTTTCTGGTTTTTATTAGCTTCAATACAGATACACGCGTATATACAAAAGGCGGGTATAAAACCATAAACAAACGCATGCACGTGTATAAGTTTTTGCCATTTGCTATGCCACGTGGTTGTAAAGCAAAATGAATAGCGGCGCGTGCACGTGAGAAAGCTCATTAGAAAAATATATGCTGCGCGTCGTGTGCCTGTGTGGCGTTGAAAATCACGCGTTGAGGGGTCCTCCGAGGAAATCGGAACTATCTCTCGTTGACGTTTATTTGTGGTAAAAGTGTTGGCACAGCGATTGGGGGGAAAGAGAAAAAAAAAAATCCATACCGGTCTGGAAAACCTCGCGCGAGATCGAGTATTAATCGCGCAGCCGGCCTTGTGGCGTTCCACGAAACGAAAATCACTTATTGGTGATGAAAATAAAATGTTTTTTTTTTTTTTTTTTCTTACCAAGCACTGGCTGTGTACTATCGTAGGTGACGCACAGTTTTTTAGATTAGTTGAAATAAAATAATAAAAAATTTATCTTGAAAATAGTGTTTTTTTTTCGGAATTTTCTAACGGTTTTAACACCGAATGCCGTCACAATTAGTCAAATACGTCGTAAAAGTGTAATATCTAAGAATTGGATGACACACCGTGAAATTTTCTTCGAGATAGCGCTATTTCCGTAACAAGGTATAAGTTTTACAGTCAGGTCTGTTCAGACAAAAAACGATGCTTGAATCAAAGCTTTTGCTCAAAATACATAGATTTCAGTCGAAATTTGTTAAAATTTGTTTTCCCAAGTTGTTTTTTGTCACACCAATGTCTGAAGCTAGCGGATGTTATTGTTCTACTTGTCTCATCGTACGAAGCGCAATTTATCTACACTCCCCCACTTTGCTCCAGAACTCGAAGAAAAACACTATTTCTACATAGATTGTAGTTTCGTTCAATATATATAAAAATGAAAATAAAAATAATTTCAAAAACTTTTCTTGAGTCAATCACAATTTGTCCAAACCCCATATGCACCCAAAGTAACCATTTTCGCGAACGTATGCTCATGTACGGTTCATTTGCCGCAACTTTCCCGCAAAAATACAAGTAGCCGTATATAACAAAAAGTCCACCATCGCCACCGGTGCGCTCGAAACGCAACCCGATGAGAATAAAAATGCTACCGCACTTGTACGTATCAGCCCCGCCTCATAAATCATGCAGGTCGCGGGCTAATCAACTTTTCGATCGTTTTACCCCTCTGGTGCTGTTGGGTGCATGTGTATATATACATACTGATCTCCGAAGAAGAAACGCAAGTGCGAAAAAGAGAGGTGAAAGAAAAAAGGTACCATATATTATATATCACGCGATAGCTGTACCGAGGGCACTTTCTAATGGCTGTTATCGGGTTATATGTATATACACACACGCAAGTGCTGCTGATGCTGTACGTTTGGGTGTGTGTGCGCCTGCAGTGTGTTGTACTATATATGTATACCCAATCGCATTGCCATTCGCAACTCGTTCTCCCTTAAATCCACTCTCTCGATCTACACTCCACCGCGTCTTCTTCCTCCTCACCCTTCGGCTTCTCTTTTCCACCTCCTCGCCTTTGGTACGAAGATTTTTTTTTTCTTTTATCTCTCGCTCAGCAGCTTCCACTGCATTAAGATTAACACGCGCGGGCCAATACAATTTTATCTTCTTTTCAACGAAATTGCCGGCTGATTGCGTTGGAAGACCACCTTTGAATAATCGATAATGTTAGCCAAACGCGAAATTTTGTACGTATTGTTCTAGCATCGGTATTTTCTTCATCTGCAAATGTCTGAAAAAACGTATAGTATGCATACGCAAAGGTTTGTTGAGGTCCAAAGCCGCAAGACGATCTGCTGCTGTGCCACTTAGCGTCCGTCACCGCAAAACGGAAAGAAGATGAGCCAAAACAGACACATTATCCCACTTTGAACTTTGGATGATGCAAATACGTGTATACATGATGCAGTGGTCAACTTTTACGTATAGCTCATTTTACCGCCAACGACTTGTTTTCAGCGAAAGCGGACGATCTATTGACTCTTGTATAGGTAGGTATACGTTGCTCGCCAACACCTGTACCCACGGGCGGGACAAAAAAAAAAAAAAAGAGAGATTTTCTCCAACATCGCGAGGAAACCGAAATCAAACGAACGTAAAATTTCGTCCCGTAAAATGATTGAAAAATTCTCGAGCACCTAAGCGTCGCTTATATCCTCGAGAGATACTTTCGTTTGTAAATACCTATACACGTGGTGTTTCGACGTGATAAGCGTATAGTACACACCCGTGATGTATATACAAGTAAGTGCCATGATGAAACCGCACATACCTGATGGTAACAAAAAAAAAATCCGAGACAAGAAGTTGATGTTGGTGTATCAGTGTCCATCGCCAACGGGATTTGACAACGTCGAGCTAGATTTTAATCGCCGAGATCTGCTGCCGGGAGAACGAGTCGGACGCGTGACGGAACAACATTACGGTTCCGTTGTCATGTATATAACGTATATACAACCAGTAGAATTTATCGCTGATTCGCCACTGCGAGACGTATATATATATGCAATGTACGAAAGGAACAGCTGCGTCTCGTCGAGGGCGCGGAAAAATTAAAACAATGCTCGAAGAAGAGGAGAGGTGCAGGAGGGAATTTTGGGGTAAATAATGTGGTTTTACTCCTCGATGACTCGAGCTATTGGGGTAGGGGAGAGAGTATCAATACGAGGCAATGTTTAGCATCCGACCAACAAAGTATAGTACTTTAACCCTTTTTTTTTTAAGATAAAGTTATACGTGGGATTTCCCTCGGAGCCACGACGGAGGCATAATATAATCAAGGCAGAGAATCCAATTGGTTTGGAAAAAAGTGCGAGAGTCGGAAAGGGTGGACGAAGAAGACTGCATATTCAATGTCACGCGGTACGTGCAGGGTACGCTTATACTTTACCTCTATGAACCTAAGTACTGCATGTGTACCTAAAATGCATACCTACCTAAAAAAATTGTGTAAATACAAGCATGTATATTTTTTGGTAAATCCTTGCGTAAGTCCCATTGGTAAAAGACCAGAGCACTTTCCAGATTTAGCTTCATTGGTAAAATTTTCAACGGTTTTCGATTTAAGCATATGCATATTTTATTTTACGTTTTTTCTTTTTCTTCTTTGCCCACCAAGTGCAGATATTATCCATATGGTTACAACCTCTCGTGCCCGTAGCTGCCCTCGCTTTTTGACTCTCGTCCATTTGTGGAGATTTTTTCCATCTACAATGCACGCCTCGTTGCATACGCAAGTACGGAGCAAATTACTGGGGCACGAAGCATTTAAGTGCACGAGTATCTGTGACGGCGCGCCTGAATATTAATAGCGGAGCTTCTAACGCGGGCAGAACTTGAAAAACGTGGACGCGCTGCTGTTGACGACAATTTTACGCCGAACGCGTGACGTTTTTCCTTGCGCATACAGTTGAAAAATCGAGCTTGGCTTTCGTGGGTTTGGAAAAACTTTCTACCTCCCGTAAATGGTATTGAAGATAAAATTATGATCTTTCAGGTTTTTTAAGTATATACCTAACATATTTTAGCGTGCAAAGTTCGATCGAGAATATGATACGGAAAATCGGCGTTTCATTCATGTCAAAACTCACCTATCGCAGTGCCATTAACAATTTTGTGACTATGATGTGAAACAACATAGTGGTTTACTGCTTTCGTATTTTCGAGAATATCGATATGCATCAGTATCGTTGGGTTTAAATTAATATGTGTACGTTGTTGGATTTATTCGTCTTAAACTAACGAAAGGTACGTGTAACAAAATTATACATACTTGTGACTTTTAATATTTTTTGGAAAAATAAAAAACATTTTTAGTTTATTGTGTTGTTACCAAACAATCATAACTTAAATTATGGAAACAAAAAAAATTGTTTTCGTGTTGTAACTGTCACGTTAAACTTACGTTACATTCGTGAGTATCCGCTGTGATTTGTACAGATACTTGTCGACTCCCTGAGATATTTTCACAGGGACTGAAAACGTGGAAAAACATTTTTTACAAATTGGTTGACACGAAGTTTAGTTTATTATATAATGACTGTAAGTACATCTTGAAAAACTTGACTAGTAAGAATAAATGAACATTTAATGGTGTGAATGTACTGGAAAAATCAGTTCACGGCTCAAAGTTCATTTTCTCGATTGATGACCTCAAAATATACTTGCAATTATTTTTTTATCAACTAAAATTGACGGTTCCTGCGTGTTGATTAACATTAATCATAATATTTATTGTACAGTAATACCAAAGGTGCTCCAAGAGCTACAAAGATGTTTTAACATGCAAAATTATTTTTTTTCATGTAGGACCATCAACACTTATTACTAACGTCCGTAATAATTCATCTTTTAATTTTTTCACTCCATCTAAACTTTAAAGCCTAATAAATTTTCTGCATTTCTCGTGAAATTTGAGAAAATTGTGGCACGTTGAACATCAAAAAGTTTAATAAAATATGCCAACTTAATTAGAATCACAATTATTTTGCACTACAACTTTTTACAGTCTCGTCCCGTCGCCTAAAAATGTATAAAACACACTTAGGTGCATTAGTAAATATTACAATGTACGAATGTAACTAAGTATACGAATTGTAAAATTATCTTTACGCGTCACATTCCATGTTTAAAACATAGAGATAAACACTAAACAAACACTCAAAATAAACAGTCGAGTTTCCATTTTGAACGCAGAGTTGCAATAATCCGTATCACAGCACATGTTTTCTTCGAAATAGTCCCCGGAAATATTGGTCGAGTTTTGGCACGAAAATTTTATATAGCACGACTTAATGATACGTAAGTTGGTCCCTCTTACTACAACATTTATGAATCAATGAAATAACGCTTTAGTACCACCAAATAAAGCAATGTATTACTACTCACTGATTGTTGTTGTCCCGCATGCGAAAATGTTCAAACCTAGTAAACTGCACTCTTTAAAATTGTCTATCTTTGGCGGGTAATCCGTCGAAGGACCATCAAAATAATGGCACTTTATTCCGTACACTGAGAAACATTATAAAGCATGAATATTTTGAAAATGAAAATATAAATAAAATGCACTATTACCTTTGCTCACAGGATACAGGAGGATAAGAGTAAGCGCAATCATTTTGCAAGGAGAAAACATTGTGACTTCATTGGATTGGAAAACGTGTTATGCCTGGAACGTCCGACTTACAATTGGCAAATACACGGTGAGCTATCATCTACAAGTACATGTATACATAAGCTGTTGAATCAGGTATACACGTGGTTGGAGAAAGTAGCTGAATCCCTTGGATTGCACTGTGGAAGACAAGTGAGGTCCATTTTCTTACCAAAGCGAATTTGAATGGTTTTCTAAAATTTCCCTTGTACCTACACGTACGTCATATTGAACAACTTATGAATACTCTTGCAAATTTGAACGAAGCTAAGCCTATTTTCTGTTTTGTTATTTATTCGTTCAGTCATTATGACATACGAACAAACGAAACAGTGCCTATTGGCATCATTTAATGAAGCAATGTTTGATTTGTGTGTGCGCGTGTGTGTACATATTAGTCATTGACTCACGTAATAATAGCTATATACTTCCCAGAAATGGGAGATTCGAGATTTGGAACATCAAGTCCTTTGTTTGAATTTCCCCTTTATTGCCATAAATAACCAAATTGTACTTTGTCATGGGATACAAAACAACCAGAGTCAGCTTGGCAATATTTTTAAGACGATTCCCGTGCTATGAATATTGATACGAAGCCAAGTACGTTGTAGTACAAGTTTATATTAAAAACGTGGTTAAAATTATCTTTCTTTTTTTCTTTTTTTTTTTTTTTTTTTTTTTTTTTTTTTTTTTTTTTTTTTTTTTTTTACGTTTATAGACATTAAAAGTGTTTAACTGCATCCGATGTAATCTAACTATGATTGTTTTTGAAAACAAAAAAATTGCAATCATAAAAAATATATACATTTCTGTCTAACACACGATGAGATCCCGATATTGATACTTAATCGAATGGTTAACTACGTGTTTATCCAAATAATCTTTCTCTTTTTCTTTACTTTTTCTTACTTTCGTAATCATCGTGCACTTACATTACTTTCCCAGCCGATATATACCGCGTGTCCGAGGGACACACCAGAACTTTTTTCATCAATTAATTCCGGAGCCGCGCACTGCGGGCATGTATAATTACGTTTGCAAGCGCGTTACGTACGCACTCGAAGATCACCGCGAAAATTAAACAGCTCATTTTGCTTTTCCGAGCTAGCCGAGCAATAACGCATTTGGTGAAAAATACCCACCAAGCGTACCGATTTTCTTTATTTTTTTTTTCCTCGATGTACGCGCATCGTATACACGAGGCAAGGTGAAAGGACGTAATTACACAGTTTTCCTTTTTCCCGCGATAAGCCCGAATAAAAGATAACTTCGAAATTCGTGTCAACTTTTACCCGCGCCAGGAAGGAACAGCGCCAACTTTTCTGGTTTTTATTAGCTTCAATACAGATACACGCGTATATACAAAAGGCGGGTATAAAACCATAAACAAACGCATGCACGTGTATAAGTTTTTGCCATTTGCTATGCCACGTGGTTGTAAAGCAAAATGAATAGCGGCGCGTGCACGTGAGAAAGCTCATTAGAAAAATATATGCTGCGCGTCGTGTGCCTGTGTGGCGTTGAAAATCACGCGTTGAGGGGTCCTCCGAGGAAATCGGAACTATCTCTCGTTGACGTTTATTTGTGGTAAAAGTGTTGGCACAGCGATTGGGGGGAAAGAGAAAAAAAAAAATCCATACCGGTCTGGAAAACCTCGCGCGAGATCGAGTATTAATCGCGCAGCCGGCCTTGTGGCGTTCCACGAAACGAAAATCACTTATTGGTGATGAAAATAAAATGTTTTTTTTTTTTTTTTTTCTTACCAAGCACTGGCTGTGTACTATCGTAGGTGACGCACAGTTTTTTAGATTAGTTGAAATAAAATAATAAAAAATTTATCTTGAAAATAGTGTTTTTTTTTCGGAATTTTCTAACGGTTTTAACACCGAATGCCGTCACAATTAGTCAAATACGTCGTAAAAGTGTAATATCTAAGAATTGGATGACACACCGTGAAATTTTCTTCGAGATAGCGCTATTTCCGTAACAAGGTATAAGTTTTACAGTCAGGTCTGTTCAGACAAAAAACGATGCTTGAATCAAAGCTTTTGCTCAAAATACATAGATTTCAGTCGAAATTTGTTAAAATTTGTTTTCCCAAGTTGTTTTTTGTCACACCAATGTCTGAAGCTAGCGGATGTTATTGTTCTACTTGTCTCATCGTACGAAGCGCAATTTATCTACACTCCCCCACTTTGCTCCAGAACTCGAAGAAAAACACTATTTCTACATAGATTGTAGTTTCGTTCAATATATATAAAAATGAAAATAAAAATAATTTCAAAAACTTTTCTTGAGTCAATCACAATTTGTCCAAACCCCATATGCACCCAAAGTAACCATTTTCGCGAACGTATGCTCATGTACGGTTCATTTGCCGCAACTTTCCCGCAAAAATACAAGTAGCCGTATATAACAAAAAGTCCACCATCGCCACCGGTGCGCTCGAAACGCAACCCGATGAGAATAAAAATGCTACCGCACTTGTACGTATCAGCCCCGCCTCATAAATCATGCAGGTCGCGGGCTAATCAACTTTTCGATCGTTTTACCCCTCTGGTGCTGTTGGGTGCATGTGTATATATACATACTGATCTCCGAAGAAGAAACGCAAGTGCGAAAAAGAGAGGTGAAAGAAAAAAGGTACCATATATTATATATCACGCGATAGCTGTACCGAGGGCACTTTCTAATGGCTGTTATCGGGTTATATGTATATACACACACGCAAGTGCTGCTGATGCTGTACGTTTGGGTGTGTGTGCGCCTGCAGTGTGTTGTACTATATATGTATACCCAATCGCATTGCCATTCGCAACTCGTTCTCCCTTAAATCCACTCTCTCGATCTACACTCCACCGCGTCTTCTTCCTCCTCACCCTTCGGCTTCTCTTTTCCACCTCCTCGCCTTTGGTACGAAGATTTTTTTTTTCTTTTATCTCTCGCTCAGCAGCTTCCACTGCATTAAGATTAACACGCGCGGGCCAATACAATTTTATCTTCTTTTCAACGAAATTGCCGGCTGATTGCGTTGGAAGACCACCTTTGAATAATCGATAATGTTAGCCAAACGCGAAATTTTGTACGTATTGTTCTAGCATCGGTATTTTCTTCATCTGCAAATGTCTGAAAAAACGTATAGTATGCATACGCAAAGGTTTGTTGAGGTCCAAAGCCGCAAGACGATCTGCTGCTGTGCCACTTAGCGTCCGTCACCGCAAAACGGAAAGAAGATGAGCCAAAACAGACACATTATCCCACTTTGAACTTTGGATGATGCAAATACGTGTATACATGATGCAGTGGTCAACTTTTACGTATAGCTCATTTTACCGCCAACGACTTGTTTTCAGCGAAAGCGGACGATCTATTGACTCTTGTATAGGTAGGTATACGTTGCTCGCCAACACCTGTACCCACGGGCGGGACAAAAAAAAAAAAAAAGAGANCGGGGTGAGGGGGAAGGGGGAGGCTTTAATCAGCTGGAGCGAGCTATTGGAATTTTAATTAAACAAAGACTGTTCTCTCGCTATTGGCACACTGCAGAAGGGCCGATAGCAGTATCGTTACCGTGTAGAGTGTACAACAATCGACAGTGTACATAATATACTCTGTATGTGGGGTACAGTGGCTCATCGATCGACAGCACTGTGGTGGCACACGCAGTGAGTCTGTCGCGCGCGTGGATTTGTATTCGCGTCCTCGCTTCCATATTCAAAACGAAACAACGAAAAAGCACGGGACGCGAAACGGCGGAGCGTGTGAAAGCCGAAGGAGAGGAGAGAAGGAGTTCGGTCGGGTCATCAAGAATTTATTAGTTTTTGCCAAAATGAAACGAGTCGGTGGAAATAAATATTCATGGGATGAGTGGAAAGGGAGAGGAGGGAGCGGATACAAGAGGGGAGGAGAGGGCCATTTCGTGCGGGAGAGGACGGGAAGAATTTCGCGAAGGGATCGCGCGAGCGAGCGGCCCATTAGCAAGATTGGTCATAGCTTTGTGAAGCGAAACTCGAATAATGTCCCACGCTCGCAAAATTTCGCCGCCGTGTGTACGCGCGTATAGGTATACGCTCGGTGGAGCTTGCGAGAGAGTTATACGCGCGATGCCTCATAGGAAAGCCCGTGCTTTGCTGTACGCGTGCCCTTCACGCGTGTATGGGATGGATTTTAGGAAAGCTGCTCGAGCGCGAGTAATTTTTACGCCTCGTTGCTCCAAAGGCCCGTTTTATTATGCACGTATATATTTAATGGAAGCATCTGCTGTATTGGTGATGGTGATTTATGGGACATGTGCATTAGTTGATGAAGCTTGTCTTTGATTATGTTGGATTCGGTGTAAGCTCCCGGTTGACTGTCAACGATTTGGATGATCAAGTGGTGCTCGAGACTTTTTTTTTTTTTTTTTTTTTTTTTTTTTTTTTTTTTTTATTAGGATTGATTAAATCCGGGTGTACACGTATGCAAAAAACGTGCGGAGGATAATTTTTTTGCGAAACGTAAGGAAATTCTTACATCGGTAAAACAACCCTTCCCCCTAATGGATCGTAGACGGTATTTTTATTAAATTCTTCGGAGGTCGCGCGCGTTCGCGGAAACTCGGTTTTTTCAGCCGAGGTAAAAAAAAGTTCGAGGCACCACCGATATAAATCTAATAAACGCGCGACTACGGTCGAGAGCCTCCTTTACACACTTTGGCGTGCACCCGCCTTCCTTGGCCGCGGCGAGGTCGGTTTGCGAATTCATTTGAGAAAAAGAAAGGGGGGGAACGAAAAATTTTTCCTCGCCAAATTAAAAGCACGTGAACCCTCAGTCCCCGCAGGCTTCCGTGCGGTTATCGCGCGCAAACACACACCCTGCGTTTGGTGGTTATACTGTTTTGCTCGAAATAAGAAGGGGTTGAAAAATACTCGGGCGCTCTTTTGGCGGAAATCTAAATTTATACACACGCACACGGTACATCGTAGGACGTGGCAAATTTATCGCGGGTTACTAATCGGCGTTGAGAGGAAAAAAAAAAAAAAAAAAAAAAAAAAAAAAAAGAAAACCAACTGGACATCGTTATCCAGCTCAGACCTTCTTTTCTTGCCTCTTCTTTCGATACTATATCTCGTGTAC